TTATATTTGAGAAAGACTTCAAGAGTGAATGTGTTTAGCTAAGTATGGTGACATGTGCTTGTAATCCCACATTTGAGGCCAGCCTCAGCAGTTCATTGAGGTCCTAAGCAACTTAGTAAGACCCTATCTTAAAAAATAAAATGGTCTGGGGACGTAGCTCAGTGGTAAAGTGCCTCTGGGTTCAGTCTCCAGTAAATCCCCCCCACCCCCCAAAAAAGGTAGGTGTGTTTAGAAAGTGACCAAAAGACCATATCAACAGAAAAATCTGCTCTGAAAGGTTAAATCTTCTCTTAATGGTTTGTTGTTCCATAACCTTCATTCATGATCACATTGAAGATACACGATCATACACATGATCAACAAAACAAAGTCAGTTCATGTTCCCACCTGACTCTCTTTCCCTCCCTCTTTTCCCTTCTGTACTTCTCCCATTCTCTTTCCTCCACTAGACTTCCATTCAGTCATCTTTTATTTATATTTGATTGGTTCTTCCTACCTATGCATAAAGGTAAAATTCCCTGTGGTATATTTATATATGCACATAACATGGTTTTTAAAGAATTCTTTCTACATTGCTCCCCGATTACCTGTTCGTCCTCTATGCCTCTTGATCTACATTACCATTCTTCTCTTTATGTTATCCCATCTTTCCTTTCCCCTTCCTTTATTTTACTCTAGTGTCCGCAGATGAGAGAACACATTCGACCTTTGAGTTTTTGAGTTTGGCTTTTTCCACTTTGCATGGTATTCTCCATTTCCATCCATTTAACCAGAAAATGTCATAATTTCATTTTTTTTATGGCTGAGTAGAACTCCATTATCCATGTGCATGTGTACACACACACACACACACACACACACACAATTTCTTAACCCATTCCATTCATCTACTGATGGGCACCTGGGTTGATTCCATAATTTAGCTATTGGGAACTGTGTGGCTATAAACATTGAGATGACTGTACTGCTGTAATACGCTGGTTTTAGATCTTTTGGGAAAATACCAAGGAGTTGGAGAGCTGGGTCATATGGTGATTCCCATCACCCAAAATGTAAAAGTGCACCTTTTCCCCCACAGCCTCTCTAGCATATATTATTTGTTCTTGATCATTGCCATTCTGACCGGAGTAAGATGAAATCTTAGTGTAATTTTGATATACATTTCCCTAGTTGCTAGAGATGTTAAACATCTTTTCATATATTTGTGGGCCATCTGTGTTTCTTCTTTTGAGAAGTTTCTGTTTAGTTTTTTTTTTTTTTGCCCATTTATTGATGGGTTATTTGGGGTGGGAGGTTTGGTGTTATGCTTTTTGAGTTATTATATATTTTGGAGAAGTAGCTGGACAAGATTTCCTCCCATTTCTGGGAGATTTCTGTAGGCTGTCTATTCACACTCTACATATAGCTATTCAGTTTTCCCAGTACCATTTGTTAAAAAGGATATCTTTAAAATACATTTTTAACACTTTGTCAAATATTAGATGGCTGAAGGTATATAAGTTTGTCTTTGTGCCTTCTATTCTGTTCCATTGGTCTTCATGTCTGTTTTGATGCCAGTACCATTCTGTTATTATTACTACAGCTCTGTATTATAGTTTCAGATCAGGTATTGTGACGTCGACTTCAGTTTTCTTGCTTGGTATTGCTTTGGCTATTCTGGGTCTCTTAGTCTTCCAAGTGAATGTTAAAAATGTTTTTTTCTACTTCTGTGAAGAATGTCATTGGTGTTTTGATGTGGATTGCTTTGAATTTGTATACTGCTTTTGGTAATATAGTCATTTTGACAATATTAGTTCCGCTTATCCAAGAACATAGAATGTCTTTCCATCTTCTAAGGTCTTTGATTTCTTTCTTTGGATGTTCTGTTATTTTCATTGTGGACCTCTTGCCTCATTGGTTAATCAATTCCCAGTTAGTTTGTTTTTGTTTGAGGCTATTGTGAATTGAATGGTTTTCCTGATTTCTTCCTTGGTTGAATCACTGTTGGAGAATAGGAAAATTATTGATTTAATGGGTGTTGATCTTGTATCTTGCTACTTTGCTGAATTCATTTGTAAGCTATAGAAGCCTTCTGGTGGTTTTTGGGTCTTCTAGATATAGGATTATGTCATTAATAAACAGATAGTTTAACTTCTTTTCCTATTTGTATCCCCTTGATTTCCTTTTCTTGCCTGATAACTGGCTCATGTTTTAAGGACTGTATTGAATAGGAGTGGTAAGAGTAGATAACCTTGTCTTGTTCCTGATTTAGAGGAAATGCTTTTTAGTCTTCCTGCATTCAGTATGGTATTGACTTTGGATTTGTTATAAATGGCATTTATGATTTTGAGGTAAATTCCTTCAATCCCTAGCTTCTCCAGTGTTTGTGTGTGTGTGGTTTTTTTTTTTTAAATTTGTTTTGTCTTCTTTTTTGGTGCCTGAGATTGAACCCAGGGGCTCCAACCAATGAGCCACATCCCCAGCCCTTTTTTCCTTTTTAAATTTTTATCTATGGGGCTGGGGATGTGGCTCAAGCGGTAGCGCGCTCGCCTGGCATGCGTGCGGCCCGGGTTCGATCCTCAGCACCACATACCAACAAAGATGTTGTGTCCGCCGAGAACTAAAAATAAATATTAAAAATTCTCTCTCTCTCACTCTCTCTTTAAAAAAAAAAAAAAAATTTTATCTAGTGGTAGGGTCTCACTGAGTTGCTTGGGGCTCCACTGAATTGCTGAGGCTGGTTTCGAATTCTTGATCCTCCTGCCTCAGCCTCCCAAGCCACTGGGATTACAGGCATGAACCATTCTGCAAGGCCTATGTATTTTTTTTTTTATTCTAAATTTCATCAATTTTGCCTCTGATCTAAATTATTTTCTGTCTTCTGGTTTTAGAGTTAGTTTGTTTTTCTTCTAAAGCCTTGAGGTGGAACATAAACTTTATTTGGGATCTTTTTTTTTTTTTTTTTCAGTGTAGACACTTAGTGCTATATATTTTTCCTCTTAGAACTACTTTCAGGGCTGGGATGTGGCTCAAGCGGTAGCGCGCTCGCCTGGCATGCGTGCAGCCCGGGTTCGATCCTCAGCACTACATACAAACAAACAAAGATGTTGTGTCTGCCGAAAACTAAAAAATAAATAAATATTTAAAAAAAAGCAGTTTTAAAAACAAAAGCAAAAACAAAAACTTAGAAGCACAAGTGGGTGGCATTGAGTCAAAACAGCAGTTTTAAAAAAAAAAAGAACTTCTTTCATGCTGTCATAGATTTTGATAAGTTCTATCTCTGTTCTTGTTTGTTTCTTGATTTTTTAAAAAAACTTTTACATTTTTATTAGTACTAAAATTTTGCAAATTAGGATCTAAATAAAGAAAACAAAACACTTGAATGGTTAACTTTGTACATGTAAATGAGGAAACATAGCCTGGAATGTAATATAATTATAGTGCCTAACGCTTTACATGAGAACCAAACTGTCTTCTGAGTGTCTAGGAAACCCGTGTTTGTAGGGATGCTACTTGATATTGGCTATGTATAGGCACTTCAGATAATCTAACAATCATTATAATCTTTTTTTCAAACATATTGGAGATGCCATAAAATATATTGAATTTGATATCCAAAAATCTCAATGTAACAATATATTTGCTGCACAAATCTCATCCAACTATTCCTTACATTCAGTATTGTTTCTTGATTTTTATTAGATTTCTTCTGTGACCCATTCTTCATTTAAGAAAGTATTTTTCAATTTCCATGTGAATGCTTCTTTATCATTTTGACATTATTTTCTCAACTTTATCTTCCTCATTTCCATAAATCAGCTTTCTTCCTGTTTTATAGGAGGGAAGTACCATAGATTTGCTCGAAAGTACTATAGATATACCTTTAAAGAATAAATTATCAGGTAAGCCTCAGGGTCTCTATTGGGTCCTGGGTATCTCTTATGCCTTTTCTCTTTCAGTGTGACTTTTGACTCTGATGGTTAAATGTATTAAGAGTAATTACATTACCTACAGGTTTGAGGCCAGCCTGGGCTAGCAAGAACCTGTCTCAAAAAAATAAAAGAACTTGGGATATAGCTCAGTGGTAAAGTGTCCTGGGTTCAATTCCCACAATTGGAGTAGGGAAGACAAATTGTGTTTCTCAGAGAAAATATGACCACTTGAATAAGAAAAGGGGCTAGAACAATAATGAAATATGCATAAGGACTGCGTAATGTATATTTTTGGTGTTGGTTTTTTTGTTGTTGTTTATTTGTTTGTTTGTTAATATTCTATTTAATAGCTGGGTGCAGTGGTCCACACCTGTTTATCCCAGTGGCTTGGGAGGTTGAAGCAGGTAGATTGCAAGTTCAGAGCCAGCCTCAGTAACAATAAGGCACTAAGCAACTCAGTGAGACAGTGTCTCTAAATAAAATACAAAAATAGGGCTGGGGATGAGTGGTTGAGTATCCCTGAGTTCAATCCCCAGTACCCCCACCCCAAATATATATGTATTATGTATACATATATACATGTATTCTGTTTAGGGACAGGGTCTCACTGAGTTGCTTAGGGCCTTAGCCTCCCAAGCTGCTGGGATTAAATTTGTGTGCCACTGCATCTGGCTTGTATAGTTTTCTTTTCTTTTCTTTTCTTTTCTTTTCTTTTCTTTTTTTTTAGGGAAAGAGAGAATTTTTAATATTTATTTTTTAGTTCTCGGCGGACACAACATCTTTGTTGGTATGTGGTGCTGAGGATTGAACCTGGGCCGCACGCATGCCAGGCGAGCGTGCTACCGCTTGAGCCACGTCCCCAGCCCTGCTTGTATAATTTTCTTATTCTCAGTTTGACAGTTCTTATTCTCATTTCAAGTGATATTTGAAAGCACTATTCAAAAGGATATGGTATCACTGAGCAAGAGTTTATGGTCTTATTTGATGTGCCTCAAACTTTGATTCTTGTAGTGTATTTGATAGAGATTGTGTGTATATGTGTGTGTGTATATATATACTTAAATTCTTTTTCTTTTTTTTTTTTTTAAGCAGCATCAGTACCTGGAATCAAGAGAGCTATGGCATCTGCATCTGAGGTAAGTTTTATATACTTAAATTTTAATCCTGAAATAAGAGGATGACTCTTTATAGCATCTTTATTTTCCCTCTGCTTAAGCATTGGAAATAAGGAAGGTTATTTTCTTTCTTTCTTATTTTGTGGAATTGGGTATGGAATCCAGGTTCTCAAGCATGCCAGGTAAGTAATCTACCAACTAACTAGCTACATCCCAGCCCTAGACAGGTGCTTCCTCCCCCAACCCCACCCCCATGTTGTTTTTTATAATATGGAGATTGAACCCAAGGCCTGTGTACACTGGATAAGTGCTCTACGACTGAACTACATCCCCAGCCCTTTTCTTACTTGATTTTTTTTTGGTGCCTGGGATTGAACCCAGGGGTACTTAACCACTAGCCACATTCGCAGAACTACCACCCCCCCTGCTTTTTTTTTTTTTGTACTGGGGATTGAACCCAGGGCCTTGTGCATGCAAGGCAAGCACTCTACCACCTGCACTATATCCTTAGCACCCCCTTTTTATATTTTATTTAGAAACAAGTTCTTGCTGAGTTGCTTAGGGTCTTGCTAAATTGCTGAGTCTGGCTTTGAACTCCCAGTATTCCTGCCTCAGCCTCCCAAGTCACTGGGATTACAGGTGTCTCCACTGTGCCCGGCTCTAATTTTATTTTGAGACAGGTTCTTGCTGAATTGCTCAGGCTGGCCTCATATATTTGGTGGGGAGGATACCAGGGATTGAACCCAGTGTGGCTTAACCACTGAGTCACATCTCCAACCCTTTTTTTTGTTGTTGTAGCTAGACAGAATGACTTTATTTTACTTTTTTATTTTTATGTGGCACTAAAGATCGAACCCACAGCCTCATTCATCTCATTTGTGCCAGGCAAGCATTCTGCCACTGAGCTACAGCCCCAGCCCTCCAGTCCTTTTTTGTATTTTATTTAGAGACAGGGTCTCACTGATTTGCTTAGGGCCTCATTAAACTGCTGTGGCTGGCTTTGAACTTGCAATTCTCTTGCCTCACCATCCAGAACTGCTGGAATTTCAGGCATGTGCACCCTGCTGGCTTCAAACTTTTAATTCTCCTTTTTAGCCTCCAGGATCACCGGAATTATAGGCATATACCACTTTACCTAACTCTTTTGTATCTTTGATAGGCTACAAATTGTTACAATTCTTTTGTCATTTCATTATGAATATTAACAACCTCACATTTGTTGAACATTTCTTAATGTACCAATTGCAGTGTGTATAAAACTTAACAGCAAATACTTTATTTAAGTGCCCTTTATAGATGTTCTTATTTAATCCTGCAAACAACCCCCAAGCACATGAATAACTGTTAGATAAGTGTTGTTATCTGTGTTTTACAGATGAAGAAAATGAGGATTAGAGAGGTTCTGTAACTTGCCCAAAATTACACAACTATTAAGTGGTATTAATAAGGTTGAGATTCAAATCCAGGCAGTCTGGTATTGAAACTCATTCTTTTATTTTGCTGTTACTTTCTCTTGTTCACATACCTTCAGTGCATAGGAAACACTTTTAATCATTAGGAATTCTATAACTTCCCAGCCTTTTCTGTTTTGTATAGAATATTTTTGTTTAACTTTTTCCCCATGAGTATTTTCCACCCCTTCTCTCACTTCTTGCCTGTCTCTTACATTTTGTTTCAGAGGCCTCAGAATGCAGACCCTTTGGATTAGGACTACAGGCTTTTCTGAGTACTATCATTATGAAGAATACCTTCATGTCTGTTGCACTGGCATCTTGGCTCTTGGGGAATAGCCTTTTAGATTCTGCTCTGTCTTATTCTTCCCTATTTCAGGGGCCGTTTTGTGGGTGGAAAAGAAAATTTCTGCTGGTGAATTCAGTTTGAGCAAATAACACTGAGACTGGGTTGTGGATTAGAGAAGTAGTAATTTCTAAAAGAAAGCTGGTGAATAAAAAAGCCAGGTATGGTGGCAGCTTACAGGTACTTGGGAGACTGAGACAGGATGATTGCTTGAGCCAAGAAGTTCAGGATCAGGTCAGCTTGGGTAACATAGCAAAATTCCATACCAATTAAAAAAAAAAAAGTGTGAAACTCTGTTTCTAACCTATCTTGCTTTTGTGGATGAAGTTATCCATTTTTATGGGGCTTCTATTCCCTGCTTTTGCTCTTTCTGCTTTTCTCTAATGATAATCATTTTATTTCTTATCATCTTTCTCAGGACCAAAGGTGAAATATATGTCCTTTGGAATTTTCTTCTGATTTTTTTTTTTTTCCCCAGTTAAAACATTGGGAAGAAACTTGATAGCTGTGTATTTGCATGGGGTGGAACTTTGATTTTTTTATTGTTGTTGTAGATGGACTCAGTACCTTTATTTTATTTATTTATTTTCATGTGGCACTGAGGATTGAATTCAGTGCCTCATACATATGAGGCAAGCACTCTTCCACTAAGCTATAACCCCAGCCTAAAGATTTTATAAAATGTTCTTGATCTAGAAAGGATGTGTTTAGGTTTTGTATGTTTTAATATACCATCAGTATAACTATTTGTTGTATTAACATGGAAATCATATTTTAATCTTGACTCTATTTTCTAGGTGCCTTGTGCCTCTACACTGCCCATCAAGAAAATAGGCCACCGAAGTGTGGATTCCTCAGGAGAGACAACATATAAAAAGGTCAGTCTCACCAGCCGCAGTGGCACACACCTATAATCCCAGCAACTTGGGCAGCTAAGACAGGAGGTTCACTAGTTCAAGGCCAGACTTAGCAACTTAACAAGGCCCTAAGCAACTAGTAAGACCCTGTATCAAAAGAAAAAGTTTGGCTGGTGATGTAGCTCAATGGTAAAGTACCTTGTGTTAAATCCCCATTACAAAAAAAAAAAAAAAAAAGTGAGTCTGGATTGAATCCTCTCATCTTACTTTGAGAACTCAGCAGGCACAACACTGCCCCCTTAATACTATTCTCCACATATTGTCCCATTTCTTGATAGTCTTAAGACTTTGGACAATAACCATCATGTAACTTAGCTTTAGAATTTTTTTCACAAAGGGTGAATTGTTTTCTATCTATATACATGTGTTTAATTTTGTTTTGTTTTGTTTTTGTAGTTCTAAGGACTGAAGCTGGGGCCTTGAGTAAGCTAGGCAAGTGCTCTACCACTGAGCTACATCCCCAGCAGATTATGATCTTAATGAACAAATGAACAAAACAGCTCATTGCTATTTCACTGAGCCTGAAGAAACTATGTCTCACTGTTAGGAGTAGATATGTAACTGGTAGGCCATTCTCACTTTGCCACAGGAACCCATGTTTCTACAATACTTTTGTCTTTTCTTTGTTTTGTTGCTGGATGTTCATGAAGTGAAGGCCAGATTTTACCTGGTAATACCATAAATAGGAAGCAGGTTGGATTCTTTATTTTTTTTGTAATTTTTAAAAAATTTTTGTTTTGGGCTGGGGATGTGGCTCAAGCAGTAGCGCACTCGCCTGGCATGCATGTGGCCCAGGTTCGATCCTCAGCACCACATACAAACAAAGATGTTGTGTCCGCCGAAAATTTGTTTTTGTTCTTTTTGCTATTTTGTCCTGTTGTCAACAATCTTTCTCATCTTTCCTTCCTATCTTCTTCACAAACCTTCTCTGTGCGCCCCGCCCTCTTTCCTTACCAGTTCTTCATTCAGTTCTGAACTGATTTGGAGAAGCTTCCCAAAGGACAATGCTTTAGCATCTATACATTGTCTGATACAAATTGCAAAATATCTTGGAGTTCAGGTTTCTCAGAGTCCATGTAAATTTTGTGTCCGTTCTTTGCTTTTATTTCATTTTTCCAAGTACCAGAAGTGGACTAACTCATTTGTCTGTGTCTGGAATAGGCTTTGAGGCTCATGTCACTTAACAGACATTTATTGAGCTCTTTATGTACTGAACATTGATATAAAAAAGTGAGTTTCTGGGGGCTGGGGTTTGTGGCTCAGTGGTAGAATGCTCACCTCGCATGTAGGAGACCATGGGTTCAATCCTCAGCACCACATAAAAATAAATAAACAAAATAAAGATATTGTGTCCATGTATAACTAAAAAAAAAAAAAAAAGTGAGTTTCTGATCTGATTAGGGTGGCAAACACTTGAAAGATTATTTGTAGTTTTAATGCCTGCTGAGTGGAATTATAAGTAATGTCTGATGGGGGTCCGTATGAGGGAAATAAGTGAAATGTCCTATATTGCCAGGTGTGATGGCACAAATCTGTAATCCCAGCTTCTCAGAAGTCTGAGGCAAGAGTACCATAGTTTTAAGCCTGGGGGCTGGGGATGTGGCTCAAGCGGTAGCACACTTTGCCTGGCATGCGTGTGGCCCCGGTTCCATCCTCAGCACCACATACAAACAAAGATGTTGTGTCTGCCGAAAACTAAAAGAAAAAAAAAATTAAAAATTCTCTCTCTCTCTTAAAAAAATATGTATTCCTCAGTTCTTTCTTTTTTTTTTTTTTTAAAAAAAGTTTTAAGCCTGCTTCAGCAACTTAGTGTGACCCTTTCTCAAAAATAATAAAAAGTCTTGGGGATGTCACTCAGTGGTAAAGTGCCCTGGGTTCAATCCTCAACACCACCAAATAAACAAATAAATAAGAAAATGAAAAGAACTAAGGATCTAACTCAAGGAAAATGAAAAGAACTAGGGATCTGACTCATGGTAAAGCATCCCTGGGACCAAGCCCCAGGACTGTGATCACTAAGAGAGCATTGTATTAGTAGCACAGATATAGATGATATGATATTTTGCAATGGGGTTGAAATCTTAGATTTAGAGTTCTTTATTCTTCTATATGTGTTTTGACTGTAGTGTAATGATTCTTTTTTTTTTTTTTAGTTGTAGATGGACATAATACCTTTATTTTTCTGTAGTGCTGAGCATCAAACCCAGTGCCTCACACATTGTATGGGCAAGTGCTGTACCACTGGGCTGAACCCCAGCCCTAGTATAACAATCTTAAATCTAAATATTCCTCAAAAGTAATTTTTTTGTTTTCTTTTTTTTATGGTGCTGGGGATTGAACCCAGGGCCTTGTGCATGCAAGGTAAGCACACTATCAACTGAGCTATATCCCCAGCCCACCTCAGAAGTAATTTTAATTTTTCATGCTTTCTTCAGAACTTTTTGGCAATAAATTGTCTTTGATATGTTAGTCATACCCTTTTTTAGAGGACTGAAGCTTATGTAACCACATAGTCAAATCAAAGTATTGGTTAATTTTTTTTTTTAGAGAGAGAGGGAGAGATAGAGAATTTTTTTTTTAATATTTATTTTTTAGTTATTGGCAGACACAACATCTTTGTTTGTATGTGGTGCTGAGGATCGAATCCGGGCCGCACGCATGCCAGGCGAGCGCGCTACCACTTGAGCCACATCCCCAGCCCCAGTATTGGTTAATTTTATATCAGATGAATTGATGTTTGTGGGACCTCAGGGGAAGGAAATCTTACAAGTGAGACCTAAGATGATTCTTTCAGTACAGTCTATCTGATATTCATTCTTGTTGAGGCTGTCCTATAAAAGGGAACTGTGGGAAGCCATTTCTGACACGTGATTGGGTGGCTCCCGTTAAGGGTCTGAGGCGTTCTGGCTGTGTCAGAACTTTCCCGGCCCTTTCCTGATGAGAGAGCCCATCCGTGTGGGGGTGTGTCTGACCACTGACCCCGGGGGCCCAATCACTGACCCTGACCTTGGAGTGCAGTCCCCCTTCAACCTTCATTGGATGGAATTCTCCCCTAAATCTCTTGTTTCCCAATAAAAAGCTACTCCCAGGCGTGTTCAAACTCTCTCTCCTGCTAGCCCTGAGTAATCCTTGCTGCCCTGCTGGGCGGTTAGAGGAGGGAACCAGAGAGGGGACCCGTCTCGGACCTAGCAATAGAAATAAGGTAACTGAGTCTGTGTGTTTTATTTCGATCTCTTCTAACTAACTTTTATGCCAAGAACCTCATTAATGAAACCATTGTGCAGGCCGCATGGTAGAGGGAACACTATGTCTAGCTAAGTCTGTTTCAGATGGTCCTACCTTGCTACTGTACCTTCACTCTCCTTCTCTTTTCCGGGAGTAACTACAAAGTAACTAAGGTTAATAACAAATATAACAATTCAGCCTGAACCACTGAGGGTATATTTGCTTTTGGGTATTCCTTCAGGCTCCTTTTTCCTAAAGTCTTTTTTTTTTTTTTTTTTTTTTTTTTTTAAGAGAGAGTGAGAGAGGGGAGAGAGACAGAGAGAATTTTTTTTAATATTTATTTTTTAGTTCTCGGCGGACACAACATCTTTGTTGGTATGTGGTGCTGAGGATCGAACCCGGGCCGCACGCATGCCAGGCAAGCGTGCTACCGCTTGAGCCACATCCCCAGCCCCTTTCCTAAAGTCTTATTGCTATGGTCAGACTTAATACTAGAAACTTAGCTCTGTCATTTGTCTTCTGTTTCTTAAGACAACCTCATCAGCCTTGAAGGGTGCCATCCAATTAGGCATTACTCATACTGTGGGGAGCCTGAGTACCAAACCAGAACGGGATGTCCTCATGCAAGATTTCTACGTGGTGGAGAGTATCTTCTTCCCCAGGTACAGAGGTCAATTAACATTAATAAGAATATCATTGAAGATGTGGCTTTTTCAAATCAACTCAGGGGAATTTTAAGAAATTGGGCCTGACTCACTTGTAATACTTAGCCTGCTAGTTCTCAGCCTGGTCAAAACAGGCTGATGTAATACTGGAGCATTTGGAGAGCACATGCTGCCATGAGGTTCTGGCCTGTGGAGTGATCTGTCCAAAAAAAAAAAAAAAAAAAAAAAAAAAACCAGTAGCATTGGCCAGGAGATACTGATTCCTATGTCTTGATCTTCTTGTTGTGACTTTGTCCCATTCAGTTTTCTCAGGAGAGAGTAATCCCTCTGGTTCTCTCAGGAAGATGAATTGACCTTCCTCTAAGGTTTCTTTTATTAACTTCATAGTGAAGGGAGCAACCTGACCCCTGCTCATCACTACAATGACTTTCGTTTCAAGACCTATGCACCGGTTGCTTTCCGCTACTTCAGGGAGCTATTTGGCATCCGGCCTGATGATTACTTGGTAAGTGACTTGTATCAGCACCCTGTGACTCCAGGTTTGAGGGATGTTCCCCAAGCAAGGCTCACTTTCTCCACAGTTTTGTTCTAGTTTTCCTTAGAACAGAAATATATTCATAGTTGACTTCTGTGTGGAACAGTCCCTGGTATGTTTGAATCTTTTTTACTGTCCTCTCTTTCGACTTTAGTATTCCTTATGTAGTGAGCCACTGATTGAACTCTGCAATTCTGGAGCTAGTGGTTCCCTTTTTTACGTGTCCAGCGATGACGAATTCATCATCAAGACAGTCCAGCATAAAGAAGCGGAGTTTCTGCAGAAGTTGCTTCCAGGATATTACATGGTAAGGAGGAGAGGAACACTGGCCACCTTTGCTGGCCACTTCTGAACAAGGATATAAAGCTGTCTTCAGCAAGCCAAGACAGTTCAGCACTGTTTTCTTAACAGTTGTTTGTTTTTGTACTTTTGCCTCATTAGGTTAAAAAGGCTTTTGTAGAAGGGCATGTTGATGCACACTTGTAATCCCAGAGACTTGGGAGGCTGAGGCAGGAGGATCACAAATTCAAGGCCAGCCCTAGCAGCTTAGCAAGCCCTATTTCTTTTTTCTTTCTTTCTTTTTTTTTTTTTAAGAGAGAGAGAATTTTTTTTTAATATATATTTTTTAGTTTTCGGCAGACACAACATCTGTTTGTATGTGGTGCTGAGGATCCCAACCCGGGCCGCTTGCATGCCAGGCGAGCGCACTACCGCTTGAGCCACATCCCCAGCCCCAAGAGCCTATTTCAAAATAAAAATTAAAAAGGGCTGGAGGAGGGCTGGGGATATAGCTTAGTTGGTAGAGTGCTTGTCTCACATGCACAAGGCACTGGGTTTAATCCCCAGCACCACAAAAAAGGGGGGAGAGCTGAGGGATGGGCTGGGGTTGTGGCTCAGCAGTAGAGCGCCTGCCTAGCACATGCGAGGCCCTGGGTTCGATTCTCATCACCACATATAAATAAATAAGTAAATAAAAAGTATTGTGTCATCTACAACAACAAAAAAAATACTACAAAAGGTGGGGCTGGGGATATAGCTCATTTGGTAGAGCACCCTTGGATTCAGTCTTCATTACCAAAAAAGGGGGGCTTTTTTTTCTCTTATGTGTTAGAGAAGTTAGGAAACACTTTTTGCTTTGCATAATACCCCCAGGAACATATACTATAATTAGGATTACAAGTCTTTTTTTAAAAAAAAAAACACTGTCCTTTTGAATTAGTATATCTATTATATGTTTGGTGTCTTAGCTGATTACTTTGTTGGAAGGTCTGTTGCTCAGGTTGATGGTGATCACATTGTTGAGATGCATTTGGAAATTTTGACCCAATGTGATGTGGGTTTATGAGCAGATTGTGCCTGAATCCCATGTAGGAGACAAAGGGAGGATGGATGGCAACCTTTGCCCTTGAATTTCACTGGAAAACAGCTAACTTGCTTTACTTTTGTGCCCTTAGAACCTCAATCAGAACCCTCGAACTTTGCTGCCTAAATTCTATGGACTGTACTGTGTGCAGGCAGGTGGCAAGAACATACGAATTGTGGTGATGAACAATCTTTTACCACGGTCAGTCAAGATGCATATGAAATATGACCTCAAGGGCTCAACATATAAACGACGGGCTTCTCAGAAAGAGCGAGAGAAGGTTCTCCCCACCTATAAAGACCTGGACTTCCTACAAGACATCCCCGATGGTCTTTTTTTGGATGCTGACATGTATAATGCTCTTTGTAAGACCCTGCAGCGTGACTGTTTGGTGAGTTTGCCATATTTACCTTTCTCTCAGACATCAGAAAATCTCATTAATTAAAATAACTTGGTTCTTTGAAGGGCTGGGGTTGTGGCTTAGTGACAAAGCACTCACCTATCATGTGTGAGGCACTGAGTTCGATCCTCAACACCACATAAAATAAATAAATAAATAAACAAAATAATAGCTACAACAAAAAAAGAAATATTTAAAAAAAAAACAGCTTGGTTCTTTGAGTCTGTGGGAGATGGAACTCTATTCCTTAGTTCCATGTTCTAGACTTCATTTAAAATGACTTTTAAATTTACCATGCCCATGGGGGCTGGGGATGTGGCTCAAGCGGTAGCGCGCTCGCCTGGCATGCGTGCGGCCCGGGTTCGATCCTCAGCACCACATACCAACCAAGATGTTGTGTCTGTCGAGAACTAGAAAATAAAAAAAAATAAAAAAAATAAAAAAAAAAAAAATTTACCATGCCTTTCCATTTGTAATTTCTGTTTATCCTCTCACTGGGCCTTCTCTAGATAGCCTGGGCCTTGTAGTCAAACTTTGTACTTATTTTCACACTAGCACCATCATTCCTCAGATTTTGATTTTGTCTGCTAAATCCAAATTTGTATCTTGGAAGCCAAGTGCTGTTGAAGAATAATCACACAACTTTGTATACTGGCATATCTACAGATTTATGGTATTCACTTCTACCTAGAACTTCAGTATTGCTCATCATTTCATTTCCTGTTCTTCTCAATAGGGATTTTCAAATGTTTGGCATTCTGTTAAAACCATTTCTAATTCCTAATTCCCAACTTGTTTCTCAACATCTTAATTTTCTATCCTGTTTCATCCCTTTGTGCTATGCTCATAACTAATTTATAAGTGTATCTTAAAAATTCTTAATCTTACTGGATATAGTGGTGCTCGCTCATAATAGTAGCTACCCAGGAGGCTGAGGCAGGAATATCACAAGTTGGAGGCCAATCAGGGCAACTTGGTGAGACTATTTTAAAATAAAATGTTAAAAAGGGCTGGGGATGTAGCTTGGTGGTAAAGCACACCCTGGGTTCAGTTTCCAGTACCAATATATAAATGAATGATTCAGAATAAAAATTAAAAGGGCTGGGATGAGGGCTGGGGTTGTGACTCAGCAGTAGTGCACTTGCCTGGCATGTGTGAGGCACTGGGTTTGATTCTTATCACCACATATAAATAAATAAAATAAACGTCTATCAACAACTAAAAAAAAATTTTAAAAAGGCTGGGATGTAGTTCAGTGGTAGATTGCCTAGCATTTATGAAGCCCTCTTTTCGGGCTCCTATACTGCAAAAATAAATAAATAAATCTCTTTTTTTTCCTTCTTATTTCTTCATGACCTTCTTCATCCCTTGCTTCCTTTCCATCCTCTAGATTCCACCTATATTGGCTACTTTCTTTCTACATGCAAGTAAGCTTTATCTGTTCTATCTTAAGTTTGGGGGGACTTTTTTTTTTCAGTGCTTTTAACTAATGATGCTTCCAGGCTTCCTTTTACTTTTTCTGCTCTTACTCCTGTCCTAACCTACTGTGTCCTCCCTTTTTGTTCTCACTACTTCAGTAGAATTACTCTTTAAGTGACCACCTACATGCTGAGTAGAATACTTCTCGATCCTTTTCAATTTTCTGCAGCATTTGACTGTAAACCATTTCCTTTTTTTTTTCCTGGTCAACATTTCCCTACTGATTTTTCTTTGTTGTTGTTGTTTTAACTGCTTTTGCAAAATCATCTTCCTCTGCTCAGTCCAGAATATTGTCCATTCTTGCCTTTGTTTGCTCAGTCTGCATCTGCTTCCAAGGATAATGTCTATTTTAGATTGTATCCTTAAATAAGGACTGGAGACTTACTCAACCAATGAGCCAGGTTTTTTTCACACAGTGCACAAAAAAACAATCCTAGGCTTAGGTTTTCCTCTCCTTTTACTTCATCGTTCTATCAGCATACCCTTGGTTGAGTTTGCACAGCACTGGAAGTATAACCCAGGCTTCTTTATTTTTTGGTACAGGAGATTGAATGCAGGGGTGCTTAACCACTGAGCCACATCCCCATCCCTTTTTTGTTTTTTGTTTTAAGACAGGGTCTCCCTAAGTTATTGAGGCTGGCTTTGAACTTGCAACTGGCCACAAATTTGCAATACCCCTGCCTTAGCCTCCTGAGTTCCTGGGATTACAGGCATGTACCACCTGACCTGGGAGACCAGGCTGCTGCTACTACTTCTTTTTTTTTTTTTTTTAGTATTTATTTTTTAATTTTAGGTGGACACAATAGTTTTATATTATTTTTTTTTAATGTGGTGCTGAGAATCGAACCCAGTGCCTCACGCATGCTAGGCAAGCACACTACCACTTGAGCCACATCCCCAACCCAAGACCAGGCTTAATATGACATATATTGTGCCCTCATTGTCTTGCCCATAATCTTCTACACCAGGTATTTGCATATTATGTTCTAGCAATACCAGATTTATATCTCCCTGCACAAAATGTGCTGTTTTGCGCTCCCAGTTTTAGCAATGTTCTTTCCTGCCTTTATTTACTTGGGCTTATTTTATGTCCAATTTCTACTTCATAAATCCATTAGATGTGTGCTTTTCTGTCACATAAATACTTCTCTTGTTGCATATGTTAGACTGTATTGCCTTTATTTACATTTGTAGCCCTTCTAAATTTATAATATGCTTGAAGACAGAAATCCTTTGTGTGTTTATGTCTGTGTGTGCATGGTGGGGGTATTGAACCCAGGGCCTTGTGCCTGGTAGGCAAGTACTCTACCACTGAGCTACACCCCAGCCCAGAAACTCATCAAGTATCTACATATCTAAGTGTATATCTATAACACATGGTGGGGATTCAGTAAATTTTGAACTGAATTGAAGCTGATAGGTTAAAGTCTGCTCTGTTACAAAGAATACTTTTTTTCAGTTGTTGCTGGACCTTTATTTATTTTTATGTGATGCTGAGAATGGAACCCAGTGCCTCACACTTGCTAGGCAAGCACTCTACCACTGAGCCACAACCGCCCGCAACCCCTATAAAGTATGCTTTTACTTAGACTTTAATTGTGGATTCCTTATAGCACAAATACATATTCCTTGTTACCTTGAGAATATAGTGTTATTTTCATGAAGAAATACAAGGAGTGTCTGTGGATTGGCAGTGGGATTTGAAAAATTAATTTCCATTACTCAAATGAGAGAAAGATAAAGGGGTATAATTAAAGACTGACCAGAGAGCCTAATATTCTCTTCTCCAAAGAGTAGGAAGAACAATGGACAATTTTATGGTTAGCCCTGAAGGTTCATTATCAAGTATAATTAGATCATGAAGCTGTGAAATCCTGAAAAAATCCTTATGCCTCCAAAGGTTCATATCATATTTGTTTGGTTGCTTGTTTTTTCCATTAGGTGCTGCAGAGTTTTAAGATAATGGATTACAGTCTTTTGATGTCAATCCACAACATAGATCATGCACAACGAGAGCCCTTAAATAATGAAACACAATACTCATTTGACACGCGCAGACCAGCTCCCCAAAAAGCTCTCTACTCCACAGCCATGGAATCCATTCAGGGCGAGGCTCGACGAGGTGGAACCATGGAGACAGAAGATCAGTGAGTAGGCTTGGGTACCAGGGAGGTGAGCACAAGCTCACAGCATTTTTCTTTAAGGAACGTACTTGGGTTCTGGAAAGAAAGAATAGCTTTGATTCAGCAGTCAAACCAGCAACATTAATGCTTATAGAACCATAGGAAGACCTTTCTTAAGGAGGACGGGGAGGGAGGGGGCAAGAGGTTAAAAAAAGATGGTGGAATGAGATGTCCATCTTAAGTGTATTAAGACATGAGTGGTGTAAATATACTTTGTATACAACCAGAGATATGAAAAATTGTACTCTATAGGTGTAATATGAATTGTAATGAATTCTGCTGTCATAAATTTTAAAAATTTTTAATAAAAGAATATAAAAGGAAAGGAGGAGGTCTTTGATTTGGGATTTATAGTACATCTGGGAAGGTGAGCTACCCAAGATGAAAATAGTAAGTCTTAGACACATATATGAAAATTATAACTTTATAATAATGGCTTCTTAATGTAAGGCATCTTCTTAGCATCATGGATTTAACTAATGTTAGTAAAATACATGAAGTGTCTTTAGGTATCCTATAATATGACTGTTAAGAAGAGTATCTTGGGGCTGGAGTTCTGGCTCAGTGCTATAGCGCTTGCCTGGCGTGTGTGAGGCACTGGGTTCAAATCTCAGTACTACATATAAATAAATAAATAAAGGTTCAGCAACAAATAAAAAATATTAAAAAAAGAAGAAGAAGAATATCTTAGTGGGCATAAGTTAAAATATGAAAGTTCTTAGGAAGTTTAGTTAATTGGGGGAGTATTCCTCAAATTGCTATGTAATAGTGATTCTACAGTCTCTGATGGGGTAGGAGACATAATTAAGGAGATTGTAGAGAAGATTAAAACGGGTTTCTTAGGACTTGAGGAAGGATTTCATTCTCTTATAGTTTATGAAAAATGAGTCAGTTATGTTTAGGTCTGAGTTCCATGTTCTAATTTGAATTAGGGTTAGGAGAAGCCTCTGCCTGCTAGCCAACAGATTTTCTGATTCTTTCTTTTTGTCTTCTTCAGTATGGGTGGCATCCCTGCCCGGAATAGTAAAGGGGAAAGGCTCCTGCTTTATATTGGCATTATTGATATTCTGCAGTCTTACAGGTAAGAAACATATAGACCTCAAAGTAGGAGACAGAGTAAATGCAGATAGCTACTCATGTTTCTTTTTTAGATGGGTCTATCATCACACCCTTCCTAAAGCAAAAACATTGAGTTGCCGTTGGACTGTTTAACTCATTGGTTTTCTAAACTTCCTTTTTTTTTTTTTTTTTAAAGAGAGAGTGAGAGAGGAGAGAGAGAGAGAGAGAGAGAATTTTTAATATTTATTTTTTAGTTCTCGGCGGACACAACATCTCTGTTGGTATGTGGTGCTGAGGATCGAACCCGGGCCGCACGCATGCCAGGCGAGCGCGCTACCGCTTGAGCCACATCCCCAGCCCCCATAAACTTCCTTGATTTAACCTCTCTTCCTGGCTTCCCTACCCCACCACTTCCCCAAACATGATATGTATACCTTCTCTGGAAAGCTGAATCAGTCCTCAGAAGCACCAGAGTGGAACATGCCATCTGCCTGGCTCTTTGTGAAAACCTGTGAGATGTGTCATACTCCACATTGGAGTATAGCTGGAAGCATATTCCCTTTCCCACAGAGGAAAAACAAGAGGATCACTGTTCTATAAAGGTATCAGCCTATGGAACAACAGAGGTAGTGAATTGGTGATGAGGGAGAAGCTAGAAATGTTAGGCCCCACTGTTATTCCTATAACACTTTGTGTACTAATAGGGACTGGAAAATACTTGACTTACTGATTTCATATTGTTATCCACTTTTTTTTTTTTTTTTTTACTTGAGCCACATCCCCAGCCCCCTATTATCCACTTTCAACTGCTATTTCCAGTCTTGCCCATCTGTTTCTCCAGCTCTCTTTTTACAATTCATTTTTTTTTGTTTTGTTTTGTTTTGCAGTTCTGGGTATCAAATCCAGGGCCTCTCGTGCATGCTAGGCAAGTGCTCTACCACTGAACTATATCCCCAGCCCATTTAAAATTAATATTATTGTCCTTGATTTGCCAGGACATATAAACTGCCCTTTTCCCATGAAAGAATAATTGATTTACATAGAAAAAGCATTGATTGCTGGGCACAGTGGTACATGCCTGTAATTCAGGAGGCTGAGGCAAAAGGACTACAAGTTCAAGGCCAGTCTCAGCATATTAAACAACTTAATGAGAATCTATCTCAAAAAAGGGCTGGGGATACAACTCAGTGGTAAAGTGCCCCTGGGTTCAATCCCCAGTACTTCCCCCTGTGAAGAAAAACAAAAAAGGCATTGATTTCTAATCTGAATAAGCACTGCCATGCCTTTCTCTGGAAAGCCAGCTTACCAGAGTGGAAGACTTTTTCTTTCAGATTTTGTCTTTTCAAGGTTTTATATTATTGCCTCTTCCTAGGATTGGGGGAGGAGAAAAAAACCTATTAGACATTCATTCAGAAATAGTGTGTGTGGTATTAATTTTTCTCTGCAGGTTTGTTAAGAAATTGGAACATTCTTGGAAAGCACTTGTACATGATGGGGTGAGTAGCAGTCAGCTAAAAGCTTCCTCCCCACTTCTGCCTCTCTCACTCCCGATTTCATTTTGGGGTTTTATCCTTTGGACAGGGCTTGGTCTAAAGGAAAATGGTCCTTGGACTACAGATTCTTTTATTGGGCCTTTCTCTAACTCTGTAGCCATCTCTTCTGCTCTGTAGGACACTGTATCAGTGCATCGTCCAGGCTTCTACGCTGAACGGTTCCAACGCTTCATGTGCAACACAGTGTTCAAGAAGATCCCCTGTAAGTGGCTTCTACCAGATGATCCCCCAGTGGCTCCCTTACCCCAAGAGATGGGTGGCAGGACACCTGTGTCAGGGAGCTGCAAAGGCCAAAGGCCTCTCCTGCTCTACCTACATCCTGTGAAAGCTGCTTCTCGTCTTTATGTCAGTCACTCTGTCTGTCCCAGTCGTTTCCAAGTTGCTGCTTTCCCCCTGGCTCTCCCTCCATGTGTCATTGAGGTGAGGGCCTTTTCTGGGGAATTGGTGGGATTGTAAAAATGTGTAGTTATGAATGTAGGATCCATGCTGCAGTCTCAGACAGAGCCAGGCAGTACAGGGAGTGATAGGCAAAGATGTTACCAGTATTATATCTTCTGTCCATGCCCCAGGTACCAAGCAGTTCTCAGACTAGTTGCTGTGGGTGAAGCATTTCTGGTTTTTGCTTAAAACCTCAACTTTCTGTGTTTAGAAGTTCCAGTTTGGGTGTGGTGATGTCCTATCTCAAAACAAGATAAAATTAAAGGATGGGGATGTAGCTCAGTGATAGAGTGCTTGTCTTTCATGTGTGAGCCCCTGGATTTAAGAAAGAAAGACAGAGCTGGGCATGGTGATATAAGCCTGTAATCCCAGCTACTTGGGAGGCTGAGGCAGGAGGACTGCAAGTTCAAAGCTAGCCTCAGAAACTTTGGGCCCTACCTATCTCAAAATGAAAAATAAAAAGGGCTGAGGATGTGGCTCAGTGGTTAAGCACCCCTATGTTCAATCTTTGGTACCAAGGGGTAAAACAAGGCAGGGGGAAGTGTGCTCCTCGCCCTCCAACCATCCATGCTGTTGCCATGGTAAATTCCAGCTCTTCCTTCCTTCACCTCATCAGACATCAGTGATGTTTAGTGAGATGTAGAGGACCTAAACATGCCAGTTTTATGGGGGATGGAAAAATCCTATCTTTTCACAGTGACACATAAATAAGTATAAATTACAGTGTTGGGTGCATACATGTTAAGAAGATATACAGTGAGGGGGTCATCTTTTAGGTTGTGGGGGGAATACTACTAAAGAACAAGGGAATTATAGAAAAGAGCACATCTCATCAGGTGGAAGCAAAACTATCAAGGTTGCATATAGGGGAAAGGGAGGGAGATGAGTATGTGTCATCTTTCTTCTAAAGTTTTCTGCTTCTTTCCTAAATGAAGTGAAATGAAACACCTCCCACTCCAAATAGTAATTCATAGAGCCTTCTTCATTGATGTTAATTCCTTGTTCCTCCTTTGCTTCAGAAGAACAACTTTGGCTGTGTGTACCAACTCCTGGGTACACTAGGAGTTTGTATCTGTGTCTTGGTGATGGTTTCTAAAGTGGGTGCTAAGTAGGCTCTTTCTTTCCCTTTTGAAGTGAAGCCCTCTCCTTCCAAAAAGTTTCGGTCTGGCTCATCTTTCTCTCGGCGATCAGGCCCCAGCGGCAATTCCTGCATTACTTCCCAGCCATCCGTCTCTGGGGAACACAAAGCACAAGTGACAACAAAGGCGGAAGTGGAGCCAGGTTAGCGCCAGGGCTGGGGCTTCCCGTGTGATTGGGCATGCCTTCCCTCCCTTCTGAGACCTTATCTTTGGCCAGGAATTCTACTCCCATTTCTATCCAGGAAAAGCCAACTTATTCCAGTTTTTCCCTTACCCCATTTTCTTTCTTTCTTTCTTTCTTTCTTTCTTTCTTTCTTTCTTTCTTTCTTTCTTTCTTTCTTTCTTTCTTTCTTTCTCTCTCTCTCTCTCTCTCTCTCTCTCTCTCTCTCTTTCTCTCTTTCTCTCTCCCTCTCCCTCT